TTTTTTGGTGAATCAAACAGCACCTTCAGAAGATTTATTGCTTGGTGAATGGCATAGCCATGGCGCATGTCAGACCTGTAAAATAGTAAAATAATGGGTAGGGGGTTGTTGTTAATCGGAATTTATTACGCTACATAAAGGCATATTTACAGTCCCACCAGGGGACTATTAATTTGTTTGGGGATAAACAATTAATCTCCCTGGGAGTGGGAGCAGAAAATCTGACACGGTTTTATGTCTTTTCCCATGGCAGCAGAGGCAGGGTAGCTCACAGCCCTGCTCTGCTGGGCCCCCCGGGGGGGTCTCCCCTGGCCCAGACGTGGGTCTGCAGTGCCTGGGGACAGGCACCCCCCGGGCAGCGAGGTTCTGCTTCTCCCTGGCCGGTTTTGCACTGGGAGCTGTGCGCTCTGCTGTGATGAATGGCCCCGGCCTGAGCTGGGCTCTTCCAGACGGCCTCGATCCATCCTGTTTGTTTCCTCCCCCCGCCATCTATTTTTGGGTTTCAGCCTTTGCATCCTGTTTCCTGCATCCTCTCCTTTCCTTCCGCTCAAGATGCAACAGGCACAAACAAGGAGGAGAGAGGGAGGCGCTGGGCAGCTGGAAGGAGAGGGGTTTTAGCTGCTACTGTTTGGTACCTTTGCTCCATGGACTTCTTCAAACTTAAACCTTATTATTTTCCTTCAGAAGCAGCTGTTTGACCTGCAGGTGCAACTCAAGTACAGGGCAGGAGCACTTGGGATAATTTCCCAGCCAAGGCCCTGGAAAGATTACAACACAAGCAAAATTTCTGGTTTACGAGAGCATATCCAGTGTTTCGGCAGGTACTGCCAACACGTTAGGGAAAGAAGCTCACACCTTGTGTTCAAGCCGCTCTGGAGGGCATCAGCATCGTGTGGGAGCCTGACTAGGACCGCCAGCTTGCAGCAGGGTCTCTTGCAACCTGCCCTGAAGCAACCTGTGCCTTTTTCTATTGCCACCTATTCTGGAGAAGCTGCATCACCACAGTCCCTTGAGCCCTGCAGCAAAACTGCTCAGCTGCATCTCCCCTCCTGCCCCCAGAGCTGCCCGGAGGCTATTTGGTGACTCAGCATCCCCAGCCCACATGGCAGAACACAAACTTCACCATTTGCCTACGCCTCCTGCCCACAGGAATTTTAACATATCCATAATGAGACCTTAGTTACCTTTGCCAAGGCCTGGTTGATATTTGGTTGGGTTTTGGCCACCACTGTGCACATCAGGGTGCTGCCAGCCCTGGGACCTCACAGTCTTGCTGCTGCCCAACCCTGATGGCAGGACCCAAACCAGACCCAGCTCTTCTTTCAGTGTAACGCTCACCTTTTTTCTTGGTGCTATGCCCTGAAAAATATCTTTGCACCTTTCTGTGGGTGCGAAGGTTGTTTCCAGAAGGAGCTAGGAGTTTTTAGGGGATTTGTGCTACCATAATTAAGAACCACCTAGATCATTAAAAATAATCTGCTTCACATGAGAGAAGAACAAGTCTGCTTCACAAGACCCCTTTCTGCTGAAAAATTCATTGCTCTAAATAATTAATGGTCCTCACAAAGGAAGATGGTTTTGCATGTTGCCGGGTGGAGGGTGAAATTCAGATGCTGGCTGGAGTAATCCTCCTTTTTTTTTTTTTATTTTTTAATAAATCCCTATTTCCTCGCCATGCTGCTGCCCTGGGAGTGATGGGGAGCAAGGCCTGAGGCTGCTCTCCCCGTGGGGTCCCACGCTGGGAGGGTGTCTGCGTGGATGGGGTCACCCATCCCACCCCAAACCCTGTGGGTCCCTCCCAGCATACAGATGGGACGAGGGCCTGGTCCCTGCTGGGGGTGTCCCAATCTTGTCTCTTTTGTCCCGAAGCAGCACGTGTCTCTTTGGGTCTTGGTGGGTTGGAAGGCAGCGGAGAGGAGCAGCTACCCCTGGTGCCACAGTCCCTGCTGAAACAGCTTTTCTGTTTCTTTCGGTAGCTGTTTGCTCTGCCGTGCCTTTTGCATTGCACATCAGGAATTAATTTATTTCCAGGACAGTGTTTGCATTTCTTGTGCAGTGTATAAATGGGCTATAAATAAGATGCTGGTTTCTAACCACTGCACAGCACCGGGGGAAGCGCTCGCACCAGGGTGTTGGGGCAGTGTCCCTGCTCCCCTGGCCTGTCCCCCACCAGCACCCACGTGTCCCTTCTTGGAGCAGCAGCAGCTCCCGGGCAGGACCCTGCAGGCAGCAGCTCTGCCAGTCAGTCCAGCTGTTAAAAAAAACAGCTCAGCAGTAAATAATACAGGTAGAAATAGGGCAGTGCCCGTGGGGCAGCACCACTAGTGTTGGAGGGTTTTTTTAGCTCTTGGACCCCCCCCATAGCCATCGCAGGGTAAACCCAATTCCTCTTCCTCCCCTCCAGCCTGCCTGTGGTTCCTCCAGCATAACTTGCATTTAGCAGATTATTTACTCCTGATTTGTAATCTCTTGGGGGTGTGTGTGTGTGTAAATGAAAACATGTATTGGATTTGTTCCTATAGTAACCATGGTTGCCCAAAAGCCCAAATCTAGGGGGAAAAGTACAAAAGGAAAATTGTGTATTTCTAACCAGAGCAGCTCAGCAGAACGAGAAGGCTGGACAAGAGCAGGTAGAGGTGGGACCTGAGCTCCTTAGAGCAGTTCCTGCACAGGTTATGAAAATGAGGCTCGTTAGGAAGATGGGGACAAGACCTGTCTTACAGCTGTGCTGCATGAGGGAGCCAAGAGGTGACATTACTGCAGGGTGACTCACCAAAGCCAGAAGCGTTTCGTGGAATTCACCATGAAATGCTGTGAAATGACAGGGCTCTGAGGTGGCTGCCACAGCGCGGGGACTGAGGTGCCCTCACGCTGTTGGAGCGCTGCCATGAGCTGGGTGCTGGAGGAGGCGGCGCCCGTCCACACCGTCCCCTGGCTGGGCCGGCACCTGTCCCCACCGGTACAGGGACCACCTCACTGCCCGTGCCATCCCGTTGGCAGACGTGGAAATGTCATCTGCAACGGGGACAGAAACAACAGTGCAGCAGTCAGGTGCCCATAACCAAGGGCAAGCCATGAATTCCCCCAGTTTTAGATGCTGATGCAGTTCGCATTTTACTGCCAGAATATTAAATAGGAAAACTGCTTCCACCCCAGCCAGTTTTGTTGCAAAAGAAGTTAAATCAAAGCCATGGCCACTGCAGGGCAAGGCCAGCAGGGCTGCTGGAGGTGAGCAGGGGTAGGGGGTGGGAGCAGCCTGCGTGTCGGCAGAGGCTGGCTGCAGTGAAACCTCCACAGCAGCGCGTTCCCCGCCTCAGAGCATCATTGGCAAAATACTTTCTAAGTGCCAGGCTTTCTTGTATCAAGAGAGACGTTTCAGCTCTCAGTGGAGGCACTGCCACATGTTGTAGGCATCTAATGGCACTTGTATTAGTGACGTAGCCCTTCATGCGTGTAATACATTTGCTATTGTCACCGTAACCCGAATACTAATAACCCCTGGGACCAGGTGATGGGCGAACCGTGGGCTCAAGACTTAACAGGGAATTTAAGCAACAGATGGTGGAAGGGAAAAGGTGGGAGAAACCACCCACAGCGGGCTTCTCACTTCCAGAGGGGGAATCCGCGGGGAGGTGTCGCGGGGACGGTGGCGGGGGGTGACCTCGCTGACAGCCCTGCGTGTCCTTTCAGACGAGCGCCGTGCTGTGTGCGGGCGGCTGTGTCCTGCTGGCCCTCAGCTCGCTGCTGGCCATCGTCGCCGTCCTGCTGCCCGGCGGAGCCTGCGAGAGGCGAGTCTGCACCCTGGCTGGCTACATGCAGACAGCGGCAGGCAAGTGCCGGGGACTTTGCTCTTTGGGGCGGTAAGATGGGCTTTCCCCAGGGTTCTGCGCAGCCCTTCACAGCATCCTGGATCTCAGCAGCAAGAGGGGCTTGCAAACCCTGATGAATGCTGGGAGAAAAGAGCGGCTCTTTGCTTTAGCGATTGCCTCCTGCATCCACGCCTGTAAATTCTATCGAAAATCATCTCCACCCAAATAGGCAGGTCTGTGGCAGAGAGCTTGGCCTGCAGGTCCCGCTCACTGCCCCCTGCTCAGACTCCCGTGTCGGGCAGGGGACCGCAGTGAGCCGTGCTGGCAGGGTGCTGCTGCACCTCCTGGGGTCTGGGAGATGCTTTCTGTGGTCTGTAGTCCCATTTGGGCAATCTCTGCAGTTAAACCTCTGGAGGGATTTCCCTCTCTGACCTTTACACCCGAGACAGGTGGTTGTCCACCCTGTCACACATCTCCCCCTGCCTTCCCCGGGCAGCCTGCTTGATGCTGCGTTCATTTATATTTCCACTGAATTGCTTACACTTCTGCCTTCGAGAAGCGCTAACGCAGAGGGGAGCAGGCAGGCAGTAGGGAGGAAGGTCTGTCCCCCCACGACTGGTTTCCACTGTGGGGAGCCAAGTCTCCAGGAGCTGAAGTGTTGGACTAAACAACCCCAACTGGACACGAGCCACAACAGGAGATTAAACTGCCCATTCGTGTCTGTGCCTGAGAATAAACTCCTTTCCTCGGAGAAATCCTCAGGGCCAGCCAGGCATCGTTATCTGCCTGGCAGCATTCAAGCAGTTTTGGGGGGAAATCCTGTTCCATGCTTTCCTCAGCAGGGCTCATCCCGCGAGGGCCAGTTTGGGGACAGATGGAGGGGCCTGGCCTGTTAGCCATGGCCGCTGCTGCTCAGGTCCATAGAGGCAGCTGCTCCTGCCTGTGCCCCAGTGCTAGTGCCTGATGCATCCCTCGGAGGCCACAATTTGGGAATTCCCATCACCCTTCTCTGCTGGCTGAGGCCAACGGGTCCCCTGGGTGCAGGGCAGAGGCTGGAGGAGCCCCATGCCAGCAGGTCTTAGCCCCAGCACAAGGCTGGAGGATGACGTGGGACACTGAGAGGTGGCTCAGGGTGGCTTTGCAGGTGGCCTGCCATGCAGGGGATAAGTGGGATGGGAAGGGTTAACCCTGTGTTACCTTGGCCCAGGCGATGGCACATCCCTCCTGCCTCTGGCTCTGCAAGGAGACAAGCAGGTACAAAGCAAGGGATTAGGAAGAGTCCCTGGAAAGGAAACAGACTGTGGCAGATAAATATAAATGAGGCGCTCTGAGGGGTTTGGGTAATATTGAACAGGCTGTAAATAAACTGTAAGCTCTAAGCGTTATTGACAAATGAAAATTTACTGGGTACGTTTGAGCAAGCTAATGGGTTGCTTTAAACCCTGGCAGTGCATTGCTAAGCATTTTGTATTGCGCTTTTTAATTTTGGTTCAACTGTGGATTAATTCCTATTCAGAGCCAGGCAGCCCTGAGTCAACAGAATTAAATGGTTTAATGTATTTGGATTCAGAAATGCTGCCCACCGCCCCCCCCCCAGTTTCTCTCCCTGTTCCCCCCACTCCCCAGGAAGCTCTTCATTAGAAATCAGCTGCAGCCAGGTGGCAGTGAAACTCCTCCCCCAAAATCACATTATCTCATATTAAAAAAAAAAAAAAAAAAAGCAGGGATTTTAGGGTAGATGAGTTTATATGGGAGAGAAGGAAAACAGAGCAAGACCATGAGGCTTGGGAGAGCAGCTTTCTGATGGGGGAGGGTGGCAGCTCTGCCCTATAAACCCACCATGAGATGCTGCTGGAGCGGTGGGATGGAGGAGAGGGCCACATTTCTCCCAAACCCCAGATTTCCCTGAAGCACAGCAGGTCCCACAGGCACCTTCCCCTCTGCCTGCCCTGATATTTTCCCCCCTGAAATTCAAATTTTGTTCCCATTTTCCCATCCCACAAAAACAACTCAAGGTATTTTGCAGAGACCAAAGGCATGAGTAAATAAGCTTAATACTATAAAACACTGAATCAGGCAATCTAATTTCCTAATAAAGAGCCAGGTGCATGAAACATGCCATAAAGTGCACGAGCAGAGGTACTGGCAGAGCCAGAATCAGTCCCCACAGGCTCTGCTCTGTATCAGACAGATGTCCCCAGCCACACTCACGTAAATCCAGGTGCAGAGGCCAAGCTGAGCCAAACAAGACCCAGTTCTGAGACCAGACCCACAAGAGGCAGTCAGGCTCCACTTATATCTTTAACACTTTACTACTATTTTTTTGTAGAGATCCAAGCTGGGCCTTTCCCAGCCCCAGAAGGAAGGCAGATAAAAACCTCACGCAGATAGAGCAGAGCATTAATTGCAGATGCAGACATGCCATCAGGGTTCAGAGCTGGGCTAATTGCCACCATACATTGAACACATGATTCCTGATGCCTGGCATCCACCCCTTAGAAAAAAAAAAAAAAAAACCAACCCGACATATCCACACAAATGACAAGAGAGTAAATAAGCAGCAGAGCAACAGGAAGAGGGAGAAGGATAAAAGACAGAACATTTCCTCAGCTCTGACACCCTACAAGCAAAGTCAAAGCTCTCCCTGAAGGATTAGAGGTGAGGCTTACTCCCTAAGAATGGTACTAAAATTAAATTTTTTTGGTGGTAATTAAAATTAACTTTTGGCTGTGAAGCCTCCTCCCAAACCTGCATAGCAGCACCTCTGGAGAAGCTGGGCTAGCCAAGCTGGCCCCATTTATTGGGGGGGGCACCCTAATACCCAGCTGCAGCCCCTCGATGCTGATGGAGAGGGGCCCTGGGGCTAATCCCAGGGACAGGGAGTGCAAATGGGTGCACAGCTGAAGTCCTGCTACAGTCATTTTTCAGCAAAAACTTACTTTGCTGGCATTTTAAAAACAGGAGATCATTCCAGGGAGAAATGTTTCTTGCCTTATGGGGCTGTAAGGGGTAGGGGATGTTCTCCAGGGCTGTCTGTGCCTGTACAACCTCTCTGGTGGCTTCCAGGTGCTGTGCCAGGGGGTTGTGGTTTATAGCTGGACATGACAGATTCTCTCTGCAAAGCTCTCAGGCCAGTTTCTGAGGGACTGCCAGCGGCGAAGCTGCTGGAAGGAGCACGGGACCATCGCAGTGTCACCACCAGCTTCCCCCACGGGCACCTGTCAGTGATGCCCTGGGGAGCCCCGAGGCCTCACTCCGAGCTGTCACAGCCCACACAGTCCCCAGCAGCATCAAGGCACTAGAGGAGTGTCCCAAAGTCCGGGAGTGCCGAGAGCCAAAGCAGCCTCTGCCAGGTTTCCAGCACGGAGCATGTCGGCTCCCCGGCACAGGAGCATCTGCGTTCCCATGGGAATGGCCTTAACAGGGGAGCGAGGTCCCTACCAGTGGGGACTGAGATTGCAACCAAGGCTGGGTGAACCTCATCGAACAGCAAATCCAGGCAGGTTTCTGTTTTTGGGGCTGGTGGGACTAAGGGAAGGAGTATGGGTCTTCTGTTGGATTAAGCTGCTGGCGACCGCGCGCTGGCACCAGAGCAGGCTGCACGTGCTGCTTAGGAAAGGCAACACGCCTTTGCAGGCAGCAGGGACTAGCAGCCTCCCTCCACGGCTCCTTTTGTACCTTAAAAGCTTCAATAAAACCCAGGATTGTGTTGCTCTTTGGAAGCTTTTCACCATGGGTTTTTCAGGCAAAGGGCTCTTGCTTTGCTGGCGAGTAACCAGATGGACCTGCAGCCTCCCCGTGGCTGCTGATCCTCGAGAACGGTCAGTGTGAGGTTAATGGCTGGAATAGGTGATCTTCAAGGTCTTTTCCAATCGAGATGATTCTGTGATTCTTGCCCTGGTCTCTGAGATGGGCCTGTGAGGCGGCCTGACGGGAGGAGGCTGCAGGGCTTTGCACCTCAGCGAGGGCACAGGCACAGTCGAGCATAAGGGAAGCCTTTGGGGGAGTTTTGCTTTCACCCCATGCCACGCTCTGTCTAATCCTACCACCATCAACTCACTGCTCGAGACAAACCCAGTGCTCAGGGCAGATGATCCTGACCTGCCTGTGCCTTTCTATGCTCTTTTGGTTTCAAAAGGCAATTTCCCAGCATCGCTATGACAGAATCAGAACAGTCATAAGACTCCAGCAAGACAGGCAGAAACCCCCAGTTATGCAATTCCCTGATTTAGCTGTGCTTTAATCCCAGATTTCATGGTAGTCCCAAGAGCTTCTTCCTGCAAAATTTGATTGTATTCTGCAGCCAAGATTCCTCTTGCTGGCAGAAGCATGGTGGCATCACAGAGATGGCCTCAGCTTTTGGTTCATTAAGCAGCAAAGCAACACGCAGGAGACCGCGTGCTTTTTGAAGTGATTAGTTAAGACACTGATCATCAGGTGAGGACACATAAAGAGGGAGAATTGTTAATTTTCAGATCAGTGCGAATCTCTCAAATGCATTGCGTCCCAAGGACTGAAAAGCAACCCAGATCAAAATGGGCTGTGCTGTTCCCAAGGGAGTGCTGGGGGAGGTTTGCCCTGTGTCTGGGGGCAGCACGGACATGGCAGGTCTCCGCGCAGGAGGCGGTCACAGTGCCTGTGTTATTTGGAAAGGCAGCCTGTGGTCACTGGTCACTGCCCCCATTGTGCCTCCTGTCCCGCCCTGCATCTCAGCCCACCTTTGGGATCGATGGTGCCCTGTTTTTCCCAGCTTGCGCAGGCTCTGAATGGCAAACAGCACCGTCATCCACGTCTGTATTGATTCCTCAGACTAATATCGATCAGCCTGGTGACATATAGGTAATGTGTAATTAGTAACTTAGATGAAAATAGCACCAAGAGGGTGTACAACCAAGCTGCCTGGGTACTCCGACCTTTCCTTGCATCTCCATGATGGCAGCAAATCGAGGGGTCACAGCTACCTGCTATTAAAACGCTGTGACAGTCTCCCCTTCTCTGCTGCCATCACTATTATGTGAGGTGGTTTTGGGGTGCTGCCTGACAGGGTTTCTGATGGCCAGGCACCAGTGGAGCTGTTGCTATCCCCGAGGAAAGAGCTGCTCCTCTTGCCTCCCTGTGTTTCGTTCTGTAGTTTGAGTGCTGCATTTTTAGGGCCAAAAGAAGCTGTGAGCTGACAGAGCTTCACACACGTCAGTGCGTGTGGCCAGTCTGCACCCACAAGCACTGGCCTGTGAGGTCTTAGATCCCTCCTGTCCTGCCCCTCGCTAAGAAGTCACGATGGAAATGCTGGCCTGGGGAAGGAACTCTGCCCAATATCACCTTCCGGTGCACTGAAGAACTTGTGGCACCAGCAGCTCGTGGGGATGCTGGAGCGCAATGTCCAAGGATGTTGTAGGGGCCACTGGACAGTGGGGCCATGCCCAGTGCTGCCGGGTGCAGGCAGTGTCACAGCACAGCCCCTGCAGCACTTCTCTGAGGAGACATAAACGGAGCAGACACCCGCCCAAGGCAGGGGACAGTTTGGGGTCGGGTGGCCAACGCTGTGACGGACACTAAAAGTGTTCAGGAATGGCCAAAGAGATGAGGGTCTGGGCCAGTCCCAGGCCGTGCAGCCTCTCCCGCCCGCTCCCACACAGCCTGGCCCAGGGGCTGACCCGCAGCCAGTTTCCTGATGGGTGTTTTTGTGGCCGCAGCACCCGGGAGCCCCATCCTGTTGACGCTGAGGGTTGTTTGTCAGAAGACAGCCCTGGGATTTGGAGGAGGAACTTGGCAGTGGGGTCATGGGGGGGAGCAGTGCCCTGTTGTCTAGGCATTGATTTGGTTTAAAATCACCCAAAGCTTCTCCCATCCCTGTTTTAAAAATAGCATCTTGGCTTTTATCGCAGAGCCCACGTGGTCCCTCTTCTTGTGGGGCTTGAAAAATGTGCTCAGGCTGGATGCAGTGACATTGCTGGCTGTGTCACCAGAGCAGCATTAAAAAAAATGTTGCCATAAAGCTGTTTCCAGCCACTCACAAATGGTCCCCCAAAGCTGCAAGATTTGTCTAAGAAAGAGAAAAAGTGCCAAAAGTAAACAAAAACGCAGCCTCGATGCAAGGTGCTTGGGCACAATAGTTAAAAAACCATCAGCATAAACCCTGAACTCGGAGATGCGTCCAGCTCCTGAGTCACAAGGGCAGCTCTTCTTTCCCATCCTCTTTCTCTGGGAAGAGCAATGCTCCCACCACAGCTGGGAGT